ACTTTGGGACTGGTTGCCTTATTTGTATCCGAAAACTGGGGTGGCCCAAGTAGATATTTGAGGGAAAAATCATCCCATACCAGATTGGCCACTCTGGTGGAAGGCACTGGGTGAATGGCAAGCAGAGAGATTGGATTTGGGTGAAGATGGTGACGAGAGTTCTGTTTCCAACAAAATATTCTGTTTAGGTTATAATCGGTGATGTCTCTCAGTAATTTTCTGGCTTTCGACCTAATAATGCTGTACTCCTGTATTTTAACTTTATATTCCAAGTTATTTGTCCAAGGGGCAAATAAACAGGAGTTCTTAAAGGATTTTTTGATGTTGGTGCGGAGAGTCTGTATCGACTTCGATGTGTGTTCTAATTTACGTTTCCTCTGGGTGATGATCAATTCTATCCACTTTTTGGTGCAGAATTCTGCCAGGAGGTGCCAGTTGGACGCAAGGTCTTGCTCCAAAAAATCACAAGTTTTTTGGATCCGGAGTCCTCTTGGAGTAATACCTAGTTTGAGGTACCGCTCAAGGAAGGCTATATCCCACCAGTGTTGACTTTCTGCTATGATGTGGGTCTGTAACGCTAGAAATTGTTTGCACATGTTCTGCTCAAAAGATGGAGAATGTGGTGGAGGGTAATGATCCCGTCTTTCTATATTGTTTCCCCATGGTTTTTGAAGTCTTGGGAGTTTGGACGTGTTAGGGTACTGTTTACTGTCAGAAAAAATTAGTCCCAATAATCTATCTTTGTGTTGAAAGGCCATGTTGTGTCCAGGAGCAACAGTGTGCTGCTACTAAGAGAACCTCTCAAGGGGATGACAATAGAAAGCACAATGTTTAGAGCGCACTCCTGTAGGTCAGACACAACTCTGGAGATTAACTACTGGTGGTGTGCGACACTCCTCATAACAGGGGGAGGGACCCTGTGCACCAATAAAAACAAACAAACAGACACACTCTTCTTGGATGAGCGCTACTACCTGGAATAACTTTTATGGGCAATGCTAGTGTCAAATGAGAGCATAGAAACAATCTTCTAGAATGGAAAGAATGTAAACTTACAGTTGGGATGTGGGAGACTCTGCACAGATCTTCACTTCAGGATGTGATGGTCAGGTCCTTCTGTCTGGCAGATGAGAGGTGAGTGGCTAACACCGGGGGCTGGGCTGAATGGCTAAAACACTCAAGTTGTCAAATGTTGAGCTGGTCTTAGAACATATCTGCAGTATTGGAGCCGCTCACATACGCGGCTGGCCAGGCCGTTAGCCCCCGGTGTTAGCCACTCACCTCTCATCTGCCAGACAGAAGGACCTGACATCACATCCTTAAGTGAAGATCTGGGCAGGGCCAGATTTACTCCCCCTGCCGCCCCAAGTTAGGTAGTAGCGCTCCTCCAAGAAGAGTCTGTCTGTTTGTTTGTTTTTATTGGAGCCTGCACTGAGCACTTGGGACCCTCACTGACCACCTGGGGCCCTCACTGACCATCTGGGGCCCACACTAACCACCTGGAGCCCACACTGACCACCTGAGAACCCATACTGACCACCCCGGGGCCCGCACTGACTGCCTGGAGCCTGCACTGACTGCTTGAGAAACCTCATTGGCCACCTAAGAGCCTGAAAATCCACTTGAGAGCCTGCACAGCCCCCTCTTAAACCCTGTACAGCTTTCCCGAGATCCTGGAGACAACAGGCCGTGAACCCAGAGCAACACAGAGTATGTAACTTCATAATTTTCTGCATTGCTGTATTAAGTATTGCTGGGATTTGTAGTCCTCTATAGCTAATATTATAATTCTGCAGTGCTTTACAATGTATTGCTGGGATTTGTAGACCTCTCTAGCTGATGGTATTATTCTGCATTGCATTGCAATGTATTGCTGGGATTTGTAGTCCTCTATAGCTGGTGCCATTCTGCATTGCTTTATAATGTATTGCTGGGATTTGTAGTCCTTTATTAGTTGGTGGTATTCTGCAATGCTCTGTAATGCATTACTGGGATTTGTAGTCCTCTATAGTAAGTGGTATTTTTCTGCATTGCTGTATAATTTATTGCTATTATTTGTAGTACTCTATACTTGATGGTATTGTGTAATGTATTACTGGGGTTTGTAGTCCTCTATAGTTGGCCGTATTCTGCATTGCTGTATAATGTATTGCTAAGATTTGTAGTCCCTCTACAGCATGGAGTCAGTGGCAGATCTACCAGGGCCACAGCTGCAACCGTGCCCTTTCACTCCACCACTAACTCCAAGCTGTAGAGAGACTACAAATGACATCCCAGACAGCAGGAAGAGGGCCCCGGTGACTGTAGCCATTTAAAAAAATGCCACCAAAATCCTCAGTACCAGGCCCGTGATAATCTTAATCCGGCCTTGACCAGATTCCTGAAAGCCAGCTAAGTGGTTAAAATTAATTCTGATATTCATCATTCAGCAGCCCCACTAGATATCTGTGGGGCTCGATGCTGTGCTTGTTTTGTGAAGGTTCCTAAATTCCTGCTGTCAAACTGAAGACTAAAGCTTTCTTTAGGTTAAGCACTACATTATCGGTCAAGCCTCTACCACACATGTTGCAGAGCACAATTTGAGTTGCATAGCTCAAAATCATGTGACAGAGGCTGGAGTCCCTCTTAAAAGCAGTGATAGAAGCCTGATTAACTAGTTAGTTTTAAAGTTTATAAGATCTAAATCAATATTAGGGTGACATTCTGACTTAGTAACCCAGTGGTTTGTTTCAAAAATGTTATAGGGGCAGTACTGATAGCAGGAACCCACAGGTGTCTGCATTAGCACTCTCATTCCTTGGATAGTACCCCGAGAGCCCTAAAACCCATAATGCTAATTTTAAGGAAATCTTAACTGACTTTTCCCCTCCTGCATGTGTTCATTAGGCCACTTATTATAGTTGGTCAATGAGCAAGTGTGGGAGGTGGAAGGGATGGACAACTGTCTGAATCACAGGTTGACATTTGCATAACAAAGAGCTCACTAGGTTTCAGGGCTCCCAGTGTGCTGCACATGACAGGTGAGCACATATGCAGGTATCCCTGAATGCCCTAGCACTTTTACGGTGTGCATAGGGTCACATGGGTGCCCAATTTCCTTAACAGCATTAATGGTTTGTTAACAAAAAACTTTACCTTTTGCCTCTTCAACAGAGGCTGACGATAGTACAATGGGCACTGTTGTTTGAGAAAATATCCATACTCAACATGAGAAGTCTATCTCCTTCATCTGCAGTCTCAATAAGCCCCTAAAATTAAAGATACATTATATTAAAGCAATATTATTTTTCCTATATATATATATAATGTTGTCATCTGTATGTACTGACCCTTTTCTAGCCAGCACCTTCACTTATTTACTCATACTTCAATGGAACTACATATGGGATGTCCAGGTAAATAATCATATACTATATGTTATCCTTTTACCACATTTTTGTCTATAATTTTACTTCAAAAGGTCCAAATGATATATATGACATATATATTGAAGGAACTAATAATGTTTTATATTACCTGCATATAGACTTCAAGTAAGTAACCCGTTTTGTTTGATCCCTAGATGGGTTATGCTAGTGGGGACCAAATAGCAGGAGGACTTCACACTCGTCTGTACAGCCGAGCCTTCATTGTAGCCCAGCCAGATAATTCGAAGCGTGTGGTGTTTGTTAGTGCAGACATAGGAATGGTGTCTCAGAGAGTTCGACTGGAGGTAAGTTCACAAATGATGTTTCTGAAGAAATTTTCCAGTTCATTTGTAATTTATTTTTTTGTGTGACAAGGAAGGGTGATTGATTACTTTGGGCAGCACTAGTGTATTCCATTTTCACCCCCAATTCTTAAAATCTCCATATAGCAAATTTTTACAATCTTTACACATTTCTACAATTATATTTTTCTTCAAAGGTGATCGACAAGCTGAAAGCCAAATATGGGGATCTATACAGACAAGACAATGTTGTGTTAAGTGGCACCCACACCCATTCAGGACCATCTGGCTATTTCCAATACACAATCTTTATGGTGACAAGTAGAGGATTTCACAGAGAGGCCACCAATGCCATTGTCAATGGTATTGTTAAGGTATGGTGATATGTTGTATGTGATTTTTTCTTAAGATTAGACTATTTCATGGTAAACACCAATTCACATTTTGTTTTTTATACATAACAAAAAGTGATGATCTTCTTTGTTTAGTAGATGAATGTGAACCAAATATTAAAGTAAACACAATGTAGCTATTTCAACACTACACTACAAATGGTGATGCTTTAGTCTGTGGATGCACCCCACCAGGACCTTTATCTTCTCTGAATTCTGACTTCTACTCCTGTAATAGGATATTACCTACCTTGTCTCTACTTCTCATGGCCTCCCCATTTACTCTTGGAGTAGCATATTCCCAGTCACCTCTCATGACAGCAGTTAACATTGACCTGGCAGAATTTCTTTTATATTAAAGAGAGATACAGCCTCTCGTGGACTGTGTTAGCTAGCTTCTAGAAAAGAAATAGCTGATAGGATATTATAAGCTGAAACCCAATTTTATTAACACACCTCATATAAGTGCTGACATGTATGTTTAAAAAAAAAAATTATTATATCCAAACCATTTGCATATCATCAAACTTTTTATTTGTTATAGGACGTAACATATTCTTATAACCTAGAAAACATATATAGTTCATACCCTCACAGAAAATGTGCACAAACAATCAAAATGAAAAAGTCAGTAAGAGTGTTTGGGTTAGTTCACACCATGTAGAGTGTGTTCCGGTCCGTTTCTGGCCGGAACACACTGCATCGAATTGCGGCCGGCTCACTTTTTTGCTGGGCTGGAGGGGCAATGCGATCGCCCCGCACGGGATCGCAAGGCACATTGTGCATGCAGTCCGGTCTGGTGCGGTGCACTATTTTGATCGCACCACACCGGACCGGACTGCACTGCAGTGCGTTCCGGACAGAAACGGACCCAAACGCACTGCAAATGGTGTGAACTAACCCGTAGGGCTAGTTCACACCGGATGCAGTTGTGATGCAGTCCCCTCAGTTTTGGCACCTGCATCCAAAATGCATCACAAAGGTTTCCTATGGGATTTCTGGTGCTCTGTTCACACCAGACCGTGCAGTCCGTTCCGATGCAGTCAGAAAAAATACTGCTTACCTTGTTTTAGCTGCATCGGATCACAACGAAAACACATGCAAACGTACTGGTATGCACCTGAAATCCCATTTTAAGTAAAAAAAAACAACCCAAAAACGCATCAATTGTGGTAAAATTACGATAAAATCGCAGTACAATCGCAGAAAAAATGTGGCAAAACGCATTGCAGCTACGCAGACGTATGCAGTTCTGGTATGAACTAGCCCTCAAGGTCACTATGTACTAGTTTTAACTTGGATGTTAAATCAGTCACTGATTCCTGTGCAAAAATATTTCAAATGTAATGTCATAGACAATGCTGCCTGTAGTTATAGTAGTATTAAACTCTCAGCCTTTTTTCAATAATACATCTAGAGCAAACAAATATATTTTGCCCTGCACAGCTTTTATTTACATGTTTTCCTAAACACTTACAATAATCTTGTGTCCAAACAGCTGGCTCCAACTCTCTCTGCTTGGCTTCCCTATACTTCCGGTCTAGTACAAGAACATAAGAGACAGCCCAGTCTCCAGCAGCTCTCCTACCAGCTTGGAGAAGGGAGAAAGAAGGAGTAGAGGGGATCAGGGGGGAGGGGAGTGGCTTGACTAGCTTTGCCTGTGTGTTTGTGGAGACACATATAGCTTACTAGCACACACAAGGGTGGCTCTATAGTACCCTGCAAGGAGACACCCTAAGACAGGATATCAGGGCCAGTGCTCAAGAGACCAGCTAATTCTGCAGGAAACTAAAACTTTGAAACATGAAGGCACAGCATCCATTGTAAGTGATTTTCACATGATTGAAAATCGCTTAAAAAGTTTTTGACTTTAATATCACTTTAAAAAAATGGTTGTGGTTGTGTCTGCGTGGGTAAATACACTGAGTGGCCAGATTATTATGACCACCTGACGTTTGTAGGCAAATTAGCTATAATTAGCTATAATTTCGTGCTGAAGTTGCTAGAGGGCCAGGCCATTATAAATAGGGAAGCAGGTTGTTTACCACGACAGTAGAAGTTATTTTTTTCTGAAGATATGGGTAAACAACGCGATTTAACAGCCTTTGAACGTGGGATGATTGTTGGCGCTCAGAGCCATGAAGCGAGTATCAGCAAAACAGCAGAATTTGTTAAATGTTCAAGAGCAGCAGTTGTTGATGTGTTTAAAGACTGGACTATCAGACGAAAATCTGGGTCTGAACGTGCAAATTGTGGCCGTCAGCGACTAGTCAATGTTAGGGCAGAACGGAGAGTGGCAAGACTGGTACAAGACAACAGAAGGGCAACAGTGCAGTGTCAGATTCCTCGCATCACCTTTGAACATCTCGTGAAGTCACGAGGCAGCCCAGCGAAGTCATCTCATGGAGTTATCTCGTGGCCCAACGAAGTACTGATGGGGTGGTCATAATAAGACTAGTTTTGCGATTAACTGCTGGCAGCATTACCTGTGACATTCAATTAACATTATTCTTCCACCAGTATCAGTGACTAAGTTCAATTTAGCTCATGGTGACATCGGTTACCAATAATGTAATAAGCACAATGTCTTTTGATATGCGTACAATGTGGACTAAACTTTGCTACCCTCCGAAAGTCCTCTGCATTCACAAGATTTAAGTAACATTACATATGCGTCTTGTATTTAGCAAGTTGAAACAGAAAAATCATTTGTTAGCGCACTCCTAGGGTGGTGTGTTGTGTTGTGGCCGGTGTGCGGCTCCTAATGTTTTTAGAACGGGGTGTTTAACTGTATGAAGTAGAACAGAAAAGGAAAAAAAGGAAGGAGCGCAACTGACTGGCACAGGGTGTATGGATGGGAAATGATCAGGGACAAAAAATTATCGAGGTATTGGCACTTACGTGTGATGGAAAGAGAGGGCACAAGGGTCGTGTATACTTCTGCTGGGGTTGTGGGGTCTCGCCGTATGGGTTGGAGGGCATCACAGGGTCGGTGTGCTGTTGCAATCCTTGCTCGGACTCCCGGTTGGAAACCGATGTGGGAAGGAAACCGATGTGGGAAGGAAACAAGGAACAATTGTATTTAGACAATATTTGTTTGTGCTGGAGATTAGCTTTAAGGGGCCCAGGAGAGCCCACTGAAGCCTCAGGGGCCAATTGCTAAGAAAGGGACTGACATGATGCTATAGATAGGCTTTGCCACAGAAGAAAAGATAACAGCTCCCTGAAACCTCTGCAACATGCCACACTGTGAACACCTGACATCTGTGAACAGCCCTCTTATCTCTCTCTTCCTGCCTTCAAGTCAGGAGAGTATGCTGCATATAGCACCGTCCTCACAGACTCACCCAGCAATCATCAATAGGGCAGAGGATGTCTCCAGAAAACTCTAAAAACACTATGAAGGGAATATATCAAAACTGGAGCAGACAGAATCTGGAGCACACTAAAAGTTTGTTTAGTTAAGATTTGCAAATGAAATAGAGAAGCTTATTGGTTGCCATGCACAGCTGCTCAAGATTTTGTCTGCTCCAGTTTTAATAAATTACCTTCTATGTCCTTGCCTAGCTATGTTTACTCCTTATTACCTCAAAATATGTGAACAGTTTTGCTTGGATGAATAATGGAAGATTAAGGGGCTATTTACTCCAGATGCTTTGGGGCTGCACTAGAAACCTTTTACAACGCAGTCCCAAGGCAAAGTCAAGACAAATTGCTTTGTTTACAATTGGCCTAATAAAAGAGCTAATATACTTTCTTACATTCTAGGAGAAAATGCTGATCTAGACTCCTTTAAGTCCTGGCCACATGTGTGAGGACCTAGGTACTTAGCCCTATGACTTTGGCTAAAAGAAAAATCAAGGAAAAGTTATTTTCTTTTCGTCTAATTAAGCAACACTCTTTGTCCATCCAAGGACTGTTAACTTTAGCTTCACTTTACATTTATTGTTAGCAAGTTATATCTACCCTTTCTGATTTTACTTGTGGCAAACCCAGTTCAGCCATTTTTTTTGTGCCCACATTTATGGCAGCCATTTTGAACACAGGTACTTGATTTGTTGAGTATATAGGTATAATAAAATACTTGTTGTGGCAGTCACTGAATAGAGATTATTTTTGAAGGCCATGAAATATAGTAGAAGCAATTTAACTCTTTCCTAATTTGAATGTTTTCATTTGTTTTCTCACTGTGCCTAGAGCATTGACATAGCACATACAAATCTAAGAAGAGGAAAGCTCTATGTGAACAGAGGCCCCGTGGAGGCTAGCCATATCAATAGAAGCCCCTCCTCCTATCTTCGCAACCCAGAATCAGAGAGAAACAGGTGAGGAGGTAGCTATGCTATCAATTTTAGAATTATTGATAATGATATCCCTGATATAAAATAATAGTTTTTTCCACTCAGTGATTCTCATCAATCATCACATATATTCTGTAATAAAATATCTCTATATAGTAGGGATGCACAGATACTTTTTGAGTACCAGTGCCGATAACTGGCATTTTCATGAGAACTACCAGGGTTGCAGTGGTTGCAGCTGGGACCTGGCTCTGGCGCTCACCCACTCTCCTGAAATCATTATTCTGTATTGTTTTAGAAAAACTGTCACATGACAATAAACAAAAATGTATCAGTACTCGTACTTGTAAGTACTCGGCAAGTACCAGTACTCGTACTCGCAAAACTGGTATCTGTGCATCAATTTATTTATATTTATAAAAACAAAATCGTACATTAAAACAGAGATGTACAAATCCCAGGAGCTCCGTGTGCTCCTTACAAATGACAGCGGCCTCCTAACTTTTGAATTTTTCTCTAGTGTAGTCTTGGAGCTCAAAAGTATCGGTACATGTACTCGTACTTGTGCCGAGTACTGTACTTGGTATCTGTGCAACCCTACTATATAGGACTCCCAGACATATTGCCCCCCTTGAGGGTTGGATCATCATAGCAATTTTTGAGTATGTGGTGCTGGATTTGAATGATACAAACTGTATTCTTATATCCCATCATATTGTGGGACAACAAACATAAAGCCTAATACTTTGATGATTTTGGACATTTGCATGAACAATGCGTTTGTTTTTAATTAGGATTTTAATAAAGTAGTGTATGTTTTGATATAAAGAAATGACGTGTTGTGGTGGTGCCTCAACATTAAAAGCCTCGCTTTTCTTCTCACTGTTTTGCATATATATTTCTGTAATTGTCCTAGCAATAATTACTATAACATTGCTATTATACATAATATGTGTGTAGAAGACAGAAAAGTCTGCTCTATTAGGTAATGTTTCAATAACCAAACAAATTGGAAAAGATACCAGATGGTTTGGTTGGACAGTAGATTATTTAGGTAGGCTTTATCAACAATGTCCATCCCATATTAAAGCTCTGTAGTATCACTTTTGCGTTTTAAAGGACTCTGCACTGAGAAAAACATGGGGGCTGCCATTGCTAAAATACTTCTAAACAAATGCCTGGCTGCTACGTCGATTGCTGACCCAGACAAGGATGATGCAAGTAAAGTTATATCTCTAATCTGCATGTTTGTTCTGAGTCAGTGCCTCAGAAAGTATTGATTTTATTGGCATGCCATCAAGACAACCAGTGATTTCATAACTATAAACTTGCAATGGCGGCCTATATATTTCTGTTGGTACCAGTTTCCTTTAAATTCATGCTCTAAATGCAGCATAATAAGAAGCAGAATGGGTGGTGTGGCACCCGTATAGGAATATTTGGTTTTGTAACAAAATACTGTACAAATGTACAGAGATGCCACCCTCTGTGCCTGGGAAGTGCAGATAAGTGTTTCAAATGGTATTGCAATGAAACATTCTTTTGGGCCCTAACAGACACGGTAAAAAACATCTAGTCAGTTGAATACGGGTATTTCCAAGTGCTCTTTTCTATGGGATAGCATTCATTTTGGTTTAGTGCAGTGAGATAGGAATACTTCTTTGAGTGCTCTTTTGCTTTAGACCATTTGGTACAGAACACTTTCCTGCCAATATGTGTCGTGGAGGTTCTGTCAGGTTACCACAATACCTTTGCACCGTGTTTTGGGGTATATGTGAAACTGAGCCATGCAGTGCTTGATATGGGGTAATAAGATTTTATAAATAGCCGGCACCCAGTGCCCTCCATCCAAACCAAAATAATTAGTTGATGACTAGAATTGTTCTGATAAAATCCGTTTTTCCTCAGTACGTTACAACTATTGATTGACCATACCATTCTTAAACAATACCTTAATGCTTAAGCTAGAAAAAAAATCTTCTTTGTGAACTGGACATGACAAACAGAAATGCTGACAGCTTTTAAATGTGTGGGGCTCAATGAAATGGTAAATTAACTTTCACAAGAAAATAGAAGAAGCACTCGGATGTAATTACCTAAGTGAGAATTATGGTTTGTGAACTGTATAACGGGGCATAACATCCATCTGCTGCTGTTCTCTTCTAAAGATAATTCTCTGATCTACCATTTCTGCTGTGACGGTATCTAGTGTTTTGTATTGGGGCTTTTAAAGGTAACTGAATGGGCACATTTTAAATAAACTTACCTTATCATGTGCTAAAGAGCAATAACCAAGTCAGCTTCCAAGCCAGGTTAAAGAGGAAAAATGAGAAGAGGCTGTGTTGGTGAAATATGTAGTAATCAGGAGGAAGAGCAGCAGGGGGCAGTCAGAAAGTGAAGAATCCCACACGCCTGGAAGTGGCAGACTCTTCTGATTTTCCCATGCCCATGACTCTGCAGATTTTAGGTATTGTTGCCCAAGGCTGGGGGTTATTGGAATTACCAATAAAGCACTATTACATTAATAAATACGAACATATTTGTTGTGGTGACAAGATCTCAAAGTGAATCTGTGCTTTGACCATGCAGGGCAAAGTAATAAGTTCAATTATCCTCCACCCCAGCAGCACATACTCACCTTTATTTTTTTCCTTTACTGCAATGAACAGCTGCAAGGTGCAGGAAATGCCACCCTATGTAAGAAATGAGTGGTTAAAATCATAGTTTACATGGGACTATAGACTCTTTGCTTGTGGCAGCACTGGTGATTGGTGGCAGGCCAAGTACTGTCACATGGAACTGCAGGGGAGCAAAGGATAGGTGAGTATATACTACTGAGGAGCTAGGAGATGGTTAAAGTGACATTAAAGGATTTTCCCCCCTCCCCCAATGTTATTGTAAGGACTTACCTTAAATGATGCCTCTTAATCCAATCTTCTTCTTACTGTGGTTTTTAGCTGTCCCTCCAGCGCTGCTGCGGGTTTCCAATCCAGCGCTGACTCCTCTGTCCTCCTCTTCGCTCATGTCCCACGGTGTCTGTGCGGGTGCACACTGCTCCATATACTTACCTTGTGTCCCTCCTCATCTCCCGGCTGAACATCTGAACTGCGCATTTGCCCGCCCCAAGATCCTCTGCGGCCGCCCGCAAAATTTTCAGATGTTCGCACGGGAGCGCGCGGCGAAGACACAGGTAAGTTTAAACCTCTTTCAAAGGTTTTTTTTTTAGTTTTTGCATATATCTACTGCATGCTAGCAGTAGATATATGCAAAAAAACCTGACCCTTTAAGGTAAACTTGTTCCCCTGTTGTGCTTGGGCAAAGCACTGTTTTATGCTAAGTAGAGTTTAGGGTTAAGCACATTTTTGACTACTTAAGTTGACTACACCAGTAGAATTTGAAAAATTGTTTTCCGAACATACGTTCATTTTTGTAATTTTTAATGAGGTAAAATCATCAATAGTGACAAAAAATTCCCTGATGGTATTATCGAATGTTCTGATGAGATTTTTTTGTTCATTTCCTGATTCATTAAATTCTGGTGACATCACACAAATATTCAAATACTTTGGTCAAACACCTTTGAAATGGTGGTCCTGTCTTTTAAGATACATAAGCCTTGTGTCACATTGTTGTGGCTCAATACTTTTTATTTCTTTTGAATTTGGGGTTTAGGGACTTAACTTTCTTCCTTGGTTAAAAGCTCTGCATGCACAACCTGAAGCTAAGTTAAATTATCAGTTTTGTCTCTTCTATCGTTGATAGAACATGGCACAGATGCCCGATACCATCCTTATATTTTGTCACTAGACCCCTAGCCCTACAAATCAGATGACAAAGCAGATTACTTTTTTGCTGATGAAATCTTGCTAAATGGCACATCACCACAAATTCCCCTATTGCTCTGAAACCTTTAATTCAGTTACCCTTTTAACTGGTTTGTACTCATAATTTCTTGTTCACTTAACTATTTATAAAGCCTATATTAAAGACAATTTTCTGCCACTGATTTGATTGCCTCTTGGGCCCATGGTAACATTTCAGAATTTCATAGACAGGTAGGCTTCACTGCATAAAGATAAGACCCCTCCCTTAATATTGTATAATTTCATAGTGCACTAAATTGTTATCCCAAGTCCTGTCCCTTCTTTTACTCTTGGCAGTGATAAATTACCTTTATTCCCTTTGGGCAGGAGTAAGCCACTGCCACAACAATTTTGAGGAGCACAAAGGGTTCACTGATATGTACTCACTTTTATCCACAAAGCCTTTTATCTACAAAGGAATCCTTATATCAATATATTTCCCATGAACTATTTTAATACCTATAATTAAATCATTATGTAAACTTCCCAGTGAAACAACTTGACTCCCCCTTGACTTTTTTTCCCCTTTCACTGGCTTTTAGAGCAGATGTTGTAAGAACCTCCAGTGCAGTTAACATTTTACTTCTACAGCAAAAAGCCTTATTCACATAAGGACCTGGAATTCTCATACAAGGTCTTATTCTAAACTAACTGCAGTCCTAATTGATTAATATGCACAGAATCACTTGTGATTTAACGGGGTTGGTGCTCCACATGTGATGGAAATATTCCAAAAGCTCCTAGATCAGGCTCAATAACATTCGTTTAATTAAAACCTTCATAAAACTGGGGTGTGGTCACTTGTTAGATGGAGGAAAACAATTACTGTCATCATATATATATGGTCAACCTAACTAACATCGCATTTGTATTATGCTTAGCACTGTTCTTCAGATTATTGTCATACTATTTAGTGAAATGTAAAAAACAATATTTCTAGTGTTGACTTATAGGTCAATGTTTTCCTTACAGTAAATAAAATTAGTTAATATGTTTTTTGCACACAGGTACCCAGTGAACACAGACAAAGACATGGTTATATTAAAGATGGTAGACATGACTGGAAAGGATGTTGGGCTCATCAGGTAAATTGCTTCTATGCATTTTGGTTAACCCTCAGTGTATGCAACTATGCAAAAACCTGTAACCTAAACATTGTTGCTGACCAAGTACACCCCTTCATGGAAACAGTATTCCCTAATGGCAGTGGCCTCTTTCAGCAGCATTTGGTGCCCTGTCACACTGCAAAAATGGTTCAAGAATGGTTGCAGGAACACAACACTGAGTTTGAGGTATTGACTTGGCCTCCAAATTCTCCAGATCTCAATCCAATTGAGGACCTGTGGGATGTGCTTGAAAAACATGTCCAATCCATGCGTGTTAGATACCACAGCATACCTTTAGAGGCCTAGTGGAGTCCATACCTTTACAGGTCAGGGCTGCTTTGGTGGCACAAATGGGACCTAATAAATATTAGGCGGGTATTCATAATGTTATGGCTGATCAGTGTATATAATATATATGTATGTTATATGCTGTGCAAAGTTTGATATTCTGCAAGCACTTAGTTTGGCAATAATGAATAGTGTATCACCAAATAACTGATAGCAAAGGAATAATTATAGGAAATGAAGGTTTTAAGGGCTGGTTGCAGATTTTTCCATCATGCTGGAAAGTCACCACTGGCATGCTTCCCCAGAAAAAGGGAAATTATGCTTTTATTGCTCCTGCATAACACAAATGCCACCTTTCTCATTACTGACATAAGGGTTGATTGCATACGACCAACATATGCCTGTGACACTGTTAAATAGTTGCCCTGGGTCATGTTTTACTTACAAATTCAGAGCAGTAATTAAAGTAAATACTACCAACCTAATTATCAAGTCTTTCTTAGCACAACGTCTTCTTCATGTGATTTAAATCACTAAAACTTACCTGTATTTCACCAGAAGACACTGCACATGGATCTCAATAACTCATAAATGTCCCTTGTTGCTTTCAGCTGGTTTGCTGTGCATGCAGTTAGTATGCCCAACAGTAACCACTTGATCAGCAGTGACAACATGGGCTATGCGTCTTACCTGTTTGAACTGGAAAAGAATAAAGGGTCTCTGCCTGGAGAGGTTGGTGTTGTACTGAATGGCAAATAGATAACTGTAAGACTGATTGACAGAACAATGACATTGTAGAGAAATAATAAATGTATATTCTTGTGTGTACTGTATATTCTGCTACTTACTTCTGCAGGAGTGAAAGAAAAAATTATTGTATTTTTGAATGATGTTTTCATAATGAAGCTGGTAATATTAATGTATGATACCAACACTATTTTGTTCTAGAAGTGATGCTTAAGATATTATTAGTGGTAGCAAACGAATAAAAAAAATAACAATAAAGTGAATGTACATGTTTAAAAAAAAGTGTTTTGGTGCATGAACTACATGAATTAAAAGTACAGAGTATTACTGTACCATTTATAAATGGTTTTTAATTCATGTGACAAAAAGTGTCAAAAACTAGGGAATGAACTGTGACAATGATGTAAAGGAATTTGCTGGTGCGTGAGGTAGGTTGCAGGTTCTCATTAGCAGGCAGGAAATCTGAAGAGGTGCAGGTTAGATATTATAATACTTAACATTGTAGAAGAGTTTTTGATAATTATTGGCATTGTCACATACCTTAGGAGAGTCTGAGGTTTTGAGGGTGGCCTCTCTCACTTTTCTGGTCCTGTGGCACCTGGATGGGTACAGGGGCACCGGGGCACAGAGGGGCAGGAGTGCCAGTAGTAGCAGCAACCAATGAGCAGAAGTAACAGAGAGAGTTGTAAGTCCAGCAGGCAAGGATTGCAGAGTAGTCAGGACAGGCCGAGGTCATCAACGTGCAGGCAACGCAGTTCAGGGGGAAAGCAGGAGAATCGTCAAAAACAAGCCAAGGGTCAATTACTGGAGAGAAGCAGAAGAGTCAAGCCAAGCCTGGTTAGAAACAGAAGCAATTCAGGAACAGGATACAGGGACACAAGGAAGCTGACAATCTGACAGCAAAGGAGGTTTGCTAGCCATAGCCTTATATAGCCCAGAGGGTGCCAAAAACTCAAACAACAGGTCGTCGCGCGCCCGAACAAGCGCACAACGCGCACGTTTACGCAGAGACGCTGCACGTGATGCAACTCTATGAGCTGCACTATGCGCATGCGCAAACTGCCGTGAAAGAATTCTGGCTCCAACTCTGGCTCTGGCATCCTGACAGGCATGTTTGTGTTTGTCAGGGTTCCAAGTACTCATCAGGCTATTGATGATGTTGGGTGCCCATTATTGGGGAGGGGGTGGTCATCAGCATGGTAATCTCTTATAAGGGTTTCTTGTAAGAGATTACCATGCTATAGACAGAATTATGTCAAAGACTGCCTGTAAGAAAGAGACTCTTCTGTGAGAGACAATCCTGTTGTGTCAGAGGCTGTGATGTGTGAATGTGCCCTGTTCTGGAATTCTTGTTTGTTACTGTGTGTCTTGTGAGAGACAGTTCGTTTAAGAAAACCTATAATGTAAGAAACTGTCCAATGAGGTATTGGCATGTAAAAGATAAACTTTTCTGTTAGAGTGAGAAATTGGTACTGTGACAGAACATGTGGCAAGAAATAGTGCCTTAGACAAGACAAAGAGTATATTGTTTTTTGAGTTTTTTATTTTAATTTTCAGGGATCTTTTGTAGCAGCGTTTGCATCATCAAACCTTGGGGACGTGACTCCAAATACCAAGGGTCCTCATTGTACAGATACAGGTCTTTCATGCGAAAACCCTACTAGTACTTGTGCAGGAGGTGGGGTGAGTAAGACTGTATATTTTCTTTTCCCTCTTCTAGGACCCTGCAAATCTCTCATTCATGTTATTGTCTTGATGTTCAAGGCCCTGAAATGGGTTAGATTTGGAGAAACTGGATGTGATCTATGAAAAATATTGAGCTTAGGGGCAGGGTTTAATGGACCATGAAGAAGTGTAGCATTACTCACCAAACTGGATGCTTGGGATATTCTTCAAGTTTGCTGTACTTTTAGTGGATTGTGAACAGTAAAAGGTTAAAGACAAACATGATAAAAAGTGTTTTTTAAAGGGTTAGTTTACCCTTCCAATAAAATTGCCCATGCATCCCCAGTATATTAAAAAAAACACTGCTCATCTTTAGCAAAAGAAATGTCATACCTGTAATGCTGGGTGCAGCCTCTTCCAAGCCTGCCGAAAAAACTACTAGTGTGGGGGACCTTTCCTGTTCCACCTAGGTGGCAGAAGGGGGTGAACGTTGGGAATGCACCCCCTGCACTGCAGGAGCAAACTCCCAGCCTCATTTATAATCTTGTTGCAGCAAAAACCTTAGCTGTGTTCAAGCAACATGGTGGTTCTTCAGTCATTTGAATACAGGGCACATTTTGAGAATTGATTGTTTTGTAAACTCAAAGCTAGTGTTTCCCTCACATAGACACAGTAATGGAAAAGATGTATATTTACCTTTTTCTTGAAAACTGTAATATGAAAACATGCAGCTTTTATGAAATTGCACAAAACCGGGAACTGCTTGGCAGGATGTGGTTAGCAAATCACTGTCATGATGATAGCAGCGGAGCTGATTCAAATACAGAGCAGACAATAAAAGTTATCTATTCTCTCTAAAGAAAAATGCCAACCAAACGTTTTTTGTGTTTTGCATAGAGTGGGGAAGGGTTAGAACCTATACTATATTGCCAAAAGTATTGGGACACCCCTCCAAATCATTGGATTTAGGTATTCCGTGAAATTTCCTTGCTACTAAATATTCCAGGGTCAACTGTTAGTGGTATTATAACAAAGTGGAAGCAACTGGGAACAACAGAAACTCAGCCATGAAGTGGTAGGGCATGTAAAATCACAGAGTGGGGTCAGCGCATGCTGAAGCGCACAGTGCGCAGAAGTTGTCAACTGTCTGCAGAGTCAATAGCTACAGACCTCCAAACTTTGTGTGGCCTTCAGAGTGGTACAACTACAGTGCGTCGAGAGCTTCATGGAATGGGTTTCCATGGCCAAGCAGCTGCATCCAAGCCTTACATCACTAAGTGCAATGCAAAGCGTCGGATGCAGGTATGTAAAGCACGCCACCACTGGACTCTAGAGAAGTGGAGAAGAGTTCTCTGGAGTGACGAATCATGCTTCTTCGGACTAAGACTGTGATGCCATTAAAGTTCATGTGCATGTAAAGGCAGGCATCCCAATACTTTTGGCAATATAGTGTATGTCACGTTTTTATGGCTGTTTGTTACCACAGGGGAGTATTTTCTTCACCTACTGTCCCAGTGGTGGTGACCACAAACACACACACGATTCTGAGCCTGATGACGGGGACCCTACGTGGCCCCGAAAGTACTTGCATTTTGAATGACCGTTGTCATTAAAAGTTTTTGATTCTACTTTTGGAGTGCTGGTGACATCTTTTGGGATTATTGCTTGGTTACACGGTGCCTCCGTGGTCGCTTCAAGCACCCGATTACAGACATCATCTCCTAGGAGATCCGGTAAGGAGTGCAGTAAGACACACTTTTCTTACTTTTTTTTCACAAACACACACAAACACACACACACACACACACACACACCATAACCTTGATATATATATTTTTTACTATAAGGAAAGTTTTACTGCTGCCACTTTTTCCACTGGGAGACTCCTTTTTATTTCCTGTTTCAGTGTTCACTAGAGCTGTAAACGAGGTATATGCGCCCTGGTGGATACACAGCAAAAACAACTATATTCCTGGACACAGCCTGGATATGAAGTTTTATTTTTCTTGAGTGTATGTGAGATACTAACTTTTTAATAAAATTGCTGGATGCTAACAATTCCAGCAAACACTTTTCTCAGCCAGAAAGATTTAGATTGAAAGTGAAGGGCTATTACTTGTGTAAAATTGTCCTTCTGTAGCCCCAGTAGGCAGATCTACTGTTATGCGGCCACTTTGGCAAAGTCCTTTTGTTTGCTGCTTCAGACTGGATTAAAGTATTAACTGGGGGATTGTCTCAGACTCAGAAATGCAAAAGTAGCATTTCCAGTCACAACAGATCTCTGGAGGCACATTATGACACTGGCCTTCATATAATGGCTACAAGTACTGTTATCATCCTTATAGCTTCTGGCTCCCCTAACAGCTTATGCATTTGATAAGAATTTACTAATGTTTGGTTTTACGGGTGCATCAGGGTTGTTTCACACATTGGTGTGCTAGACATGATGCCTTAAGACTAATGGTAGGTGTATTTTACACAGGTTTAAAGGAGTTACCATTTACCTCCATGAAGGGTGTGTTTTGCTAGGAACTGCAGCAAAGAAGCAGAGAGCTGTTTTTCTTTGTAACTGCACTAAAACTCAGAGGTGTTAGTGGTCATAAAATAACTTTATTAATAACTTAATGCTTTATTATTTCCAGGATTATCTGCTTTTGCCAAACGCTTTTTGAATGACAATTTAAAAGATGTGCTGTAACTTTTCAGCAATTATCAGCAATATGGTAACTGCATAAAATATAACAGAAATATAGCTGTCTCAAATTCAGACTATGAAATTATTTTTCTAAAAATACATTTTTTATCATCAACATTATAGGTCACGATCTGCGTAGCCACTGGGCCTGGAGATAATGTGTTTGAGAGTACAAGAATAATAGGGGAAACCATATTTTTAAGAGCGAAGGTAGGTTAGTGATTGCAGCAAAAGATCTAAAAATAGAGCTAAAGATATGATGTTCCCTGTATCGACAGTGTTCTCTGTGTCTATAGCATTCTCTTTATTTACGTTGTTCTCTGTAACTATAAGGTTCTCTGTATTTATAGTATTATCTGTATATATTGTGTTCTCTTTATCTATACCGTTCTCCCTATATATTGCATTATCTGTACATATTGGGGGAATTTAGCAAAACTGGGGCAGAGAGAATCTGGAGCAGTTACACATGGCAACCAATCAGCATCTCTCTTCAGTTTGCTCAGGTATGATTTGAAAATGAGACAGAGAAGCTGATTGGCTGCAGTGCAAATCTGCTACAGATTTTGTCTGCTCCAGTTTTGATCAATTCCCCTCATTGTGTTCTCTGTATCTATAGTGTTCTCTTTATCTATACTGTTAGAGGGGCAGCAGGGGTGTGGAATCTCCCGACGCCCAGGACATTCAGTTATGGGCGGGTAGTTGTTTTCTACATTTAGCCCTGCTTTGGGCAAGCAGGGCCAAATGTAGAGCGGGGAAGCCGCTCGTTGGTTTACAAATTATCTCGGCGATGTCACAGAGACAACTTGTATGCAGCCTGCCGGTCTGTCCTCCCCCCCCACCCCTGCTGTGTACCTCTCTCCTCACTGGCAGCCTCTCTCCGGAGATCTTCAGGAAGGAGAGAGGGGAGCAGAGCGGAGAACGTCCATTCTCCGCTCTGCTCCGTGTAAACAGTGAGAGGGGAGAGCTGCACTTGCAGCCTTCCCCTCTCAGGTGTCAAAGGAGTTCCAGCACAGTGCTGTGCTAGAACTCCTCTATTGGAAGTGACAGGTTCAATAAAGAGAACCTGTCCCCTCCAAATGCTATCACACAGAGGCTTGTTATCTCCTATGTGATAGCAATAAAGTTTAGTTAAAAACAAAATATTGATAAAAAAATAATTAATTCAATACAAAAGTAAAAAATAATAATAAATAAAATAAAACAATAAAAAGGTGGATTGGTTTCAGTTAGCCACTCAATGGTATCACCTTGACAATATGTTTTGCTTTCTCTTCTTTACTTATTTCTGTCAAACACAGTACATCATTTGTTTTTGCTTCCAATATGTTGAAAATCTCTGGGTGACCTAATGCCTGTTAAGAAAAGGGGTCAGAGCTTTCCTAAGGTGTGAGCTACATACGTTAGCTAGCTGTATTTTGAAGAAGATTGCAAAAGGTTCAGCATAGACAAAGTCATTAAAGGATCTGCCGTTGTGTCTCATTTTGTAGCTGCTGATACACCTTCCTGGTCAGGATTACTCCATACGCTAATCAGCTGCCACAATAGTGCTATGAAATAGTCACATTGCATGGCAAATCGACTCTCTTTGATAGAAAGCTGAACTAAGTTTGGATAATACACATTTTGAAAACTGTTCTTTGCTGCTAACTTACAAGTCGCATGTCTTCCTATTTTTATATAGGAATTGTATGATGAAGCATCCAAGTTGATCGAAGGCACTGTGAGTTCTGCTCACCAGTGGGTGGACATGAGTAATGTCAGTGTAAAACTTAATGACACCCATAAAGTGAGTATTTATGTGAACATGATATCTAACACTAACCAAGAATTACCATGTTGTCTTGTTTAAATGGTATGCACATTTCTACTATATTTGTATTGTGTTTCTATAAAACAATGTTTCAATATCGGCAAATGATGGGAATTAACACAAAAAATACAAATATCACAATCTATAAAAAAACAAAACGTTGGACTGTAAAGTGCTTTAATATATGTCTGTGCTCTGTTAATATAGCAAATTGACCAACAGTAGTATCAAATCTAATTTATGTTTTATACCTTCTGAAGGCAACAACCTGTAAACCTGCCCTTGGCTATAGCTTTGCTGCTGGAACAATTGATGGTCCTGGGCTGATCAATTTTACTCATGGTAAGAGCTCCTTTGCTTAAACAACAGAATATATGTACTGTATATATATATATATATTGTAGGAAAGTCACTGGTCTTT